AATAATTAAAAAAAAAGCTTTAGGTGGGTGTTACACACGAGCTCCTTTCACTTTAGGAGGATCTGCCCTATGGGAGGTACCGGTGGGCATTGTAGACCGAAAGAGCAAAGTACTCTACAATAAATAATTCTATTCGTTAAGGTTATATGATAGAATCACATACAAAAAGAGGCCACATGGGAGCTAGAATCAGACTTCAGAGCCCAGTATCCCCAACTGTTTGATTAAGTGAGAGTAACAAATTTAATGAAACATTTTTTTTGGGGGAGGGGGGGTTGTAATACCAGGGCCCGAAAAATAGGTCTGGGATAAATTTTGTTAATTTAGAGATGTATAAAAAATATATTTTATAAATTAATTTAATGAAGTTTTTGTTATATTTAAGAAAAAATAAATTAGTCATGAGATTAAAAATAATTTTGAAAAAAAGTGGTAAAAATTTGAGTTCGGATAGTGTTTTTGAAAGAAAAATAAAAACTGAGAGACAGAATGTAAATAAAAAAAATTTAGTCATGTAAGACCGCCCAGTCAGCAGCCTCGACGAATCGGAGTGCGCCGCGTGGTAAGGCATGTTGACTCGGTGCCACGCCAGAAGCTACACTAGCGATCCGCGTGCCTCACGATCCGATGACCAAGAAGTGATCCCGGGCGCGTGGACAGTTCGGATCCATTTCTTCCTTAGGTACGATTAGACGGTCAAGATCAAACGCGATGAACAGTCTAGATTCGTTTCTCTCCTTAGGTGCAATCGAATGGTCAAGATCAATTGCGATGAATAGTTTAGATTAACGCAAGATGCGTATAAATATTTCGCATCACACTGAACCCAAACCCTAGCCGCCAGCCTCTCCCGGAGAAGAAGAACCAGTCACCGGAAAAGGGAGTCGACTACCCCCGCACTAAAGCCACCTCTGATCGCTAAAAAAGGAAACAATTCTCTTACCCACTCAAAATTCAATTCTGAGTACCCCTGTGACCATATCGGAGCAAAACGAATGGTAGTTGAGCTAGAAACCACGGGCAAAGCCCGCAACCTCCTCTAATGAGTCCCTTCCCATTTTCCATTCAGTGCGATTTTTCTACTGTTGTGTTCATCGTTATGTTTTCTACAGGTTGACTGAAGAAAAAATCCCAGCCATGAAGGTGAGCTGGTGGAGCCACCGCACTTGAAAAATCCCACCACCGGTAGATTT